CCCACACGTTTCACAAATCACTATCCATAAATTGAACGAATTGGGGGTTGAAGTTCTACCTCACCCGCCATATTCTCCAGACCTTTCACCAACCGACTATCACCTTTTCAAACATTTTCAGAACTTCCTTGCTGAAAAATACTTCATGTCAGGACCAGGCAAAAAAGCCTTCGTGGATTTCGTGGATTCTCGACCACCCAAAATTTTTTTTGATGGGATTTTATCGACAGGTTTCACATTGGCAAAAGTGTGCTTTCGAACAGTGCTTATTTCGAATTAAATCCGATGAGTATTAAGAAGGTATGATCCTTCAAGGTGAAAAACACTCAACGCTGACGATAGCTTTCCGTTTCCAAGCCACTACCATAGTACATGTGCCCTGCAGAGGTAGCCTCCTCTTATCCGAGCCACGAAGTAATTGTCCGCTTACGTGATCCCGTGGACCACCCACCTAAACCGACTTCCACATCCCTTCTTTCCGTGATCTTTCCACCAAACCGTCCCCTATGCCCGCACCTTTTTTAATATCAGCACGAGGGCATTGGGAGGGGGTTCAGGACTCCCTGCGGTGATGTCCTGCAAGGATTTGATCGTCTCCGTAGCGCTATCTTTCAAGTGTGTGTCTCCATCGGTGTGTAAGCAATCGGCGGCGATGGGGAGGCGGCCGTGGCGGCGGGAGCCCTTACGGAGCGACGCGGCTGTGCGACTCGGCTGTACCGCTGTGACGCGGCTGTGTGACGCGGCCCAATGGGCGGTGCCATCAGGGCCGCAGCCACTCCATGCCGCTCACATTGCCACCTTCCGTCACTGTAACTTCTCTCCTGGACTTTGTCTCGGATCAATTCCACTCGGGAATCTTCCTCTGGTTTGCTATGAACCTCAGCTAGTCTTGGGAAGTGCAGGAGATTGTTTCGTAGCCTCTTAGCCCTCCATATTTCTCTAGAGTCCTGCAATTGCGAGCTTTCGGTAGACAAGTGACCGGTGGTCGTAATTCCTTTGTTCTGGCTTTTTCTTCTTTCAGGCTGAATCTGTGGGATCTCTTCTTCTGTTAATAGCTGCCCTCATTGAGAAGCTTAGGGACACTTCTACGACCTTTTAATGGGTTTTGGTTTCTCCAGTTTGCTAATGAATTAAATGTATCGCTTGATCAGCGCCCA